CATGCTATTCGGCTTGGGTGCGAGTTCAAATCCCGCGGAAAACTCGATTTTGTAAATTGCAATTTTTTTTGTTATTTTAGCTTTTTTATTGTTGTAGTGGTGGCGTCTTCAATAAGTACAAAAGATCAGGTTGTATATTTCCTAATCTTTATTGGTGGATGAGAGCTGTGCCGCTCGTATAAAGTGTGAAGAGAATATGTATATACATATATATATGAACAGAAGTGTCAATACCAGGATAGGCAAGTGACCAGCCGTTAGGGCGAAGAACCCAGAGAACACATGCACACTTTTTTTCGAGCGTTAACACCCAAGACAACTTCGTATTCGCTCGGCTCCTCACTTGTAGGTTTGGGTTACTAAAATATACGAAAGCACAATCATTTCGCTTCATGATCTATGCTCAATGTTTCGCTTGCTCTCTCTCTCGATGCTCTCTGCTCTCTCAAATGTGTATATGTATGGAATGGAAAACCCTTTCAAGAGAAAGAGGGAGATTAATACGCGCCTTTCGCTTAAGCGCTCGCAGCAGCGCACTGATCTTGGCGTGAGACTTTTTTCTCTTCTCGAGCCTCGAGCAACGGAGCGAAGTGTTGACACGAAGATAAATGCAACAACTCGAATGACTCGACGTCTGTATGCTTTGCTTAACTTTTGTATTCCGCTTTAGGTCTTATTCATTCGCACTCATTTTACTGAAGGCAGTGAGAGCGTCTATGAGAGAGAGAACTATGCGAACTCCCACTCTCTCAACATGTTATATGTCCCTCACTCACTCAGTCTCAATTCAAGTGGACTCTATTCTGCTATGTTTTGAGTGTAGCCTTGCAAGCCTCTAATATGTAGTCCACAACGCACGTACCTTAGAAGGCTTGGTTGGAGATGCAATAGTGTATACTTCGGTTTGTGATTTATTTAATTTTGAAGTATCGGCCATCGTTACATACTCTGTCGTATGCTCTTTATGATTCTTCAAAACATTTGAATTCATCTAATATGTGATTGGCTGAATATCTAACTATCTTACTAAACTAATGTTAAAATAACTAAATATCCAAATAATGTATAATAATATATATACGAATATATTTTTTTCGTTTAAGATGACCTTGACGGAATTAATCTCTAATCTTTCGACAAACCCATATTTTGGCGCCGGATTTGGTTTATTTGGAGTTGGTGCAAGCGCAGCAATACTTAGAAAAGGTTTACAAGGAGCCGTAGTGTTATTTCGCCGACACTTAATGATTACGTTAGAAGTGCCATGTAGAGATAAATCTTATCAATGGCTACTAAAATGGATAACCATCAGAGGTGCTAAAAAAACACAGCATTTAAGTGTAGAAACATCTTTTTTACAAAACGATAATGGTCAGATCAAAACAAGTTACGAGTTCATACCTAGTATAGGCAAACATTTATTTCAATATAAAAATAATTGGATTCAAGTTGAGAGGACACGAGAACAACAAACGTTAGATTTACACATGGGCGTGCCTTGGGAAACGGTAACGTTGACAGCGTTTGGTAATGATAAAAAAATATATTTTGATATCTTAGAAGAAGCTCGTGAACTTGCTTTACAGGCTACTGAGGGAAAAACACTGATGTACACAGCAATGGGGTCTGAATGGAGACCCTTTGGACAACCAAGAAGACGTAGACCTACATCTTCAGTGGTATTAGATTTTGGGATATCTGAAAAAATTATTGCTGATTGCAATGATTTTATTCGAAATTCATTATGGTATACAAATAGAGGAATCCCTTACCGTAGAGGTTATCTTTTATATGGACCTCCAGGTTGTGGTAAATCAAGCTTTATTACTGCGTTAGCGGGGGAGTTAGAATATGGAATATGTTTACTTAATTTATCAGAAAGGGGACTTACTGACGATCGATTAAATCATCTTTTAAATGTTGCTCCTGAGCAAACAATAATATTACTTGAAGACATTGATGCTGCATTTGTTTCTCGGGAATCCACACTGCTACAAAAATCTGCGTATGATGGTTTGAACAGAATAACATTTAGTGGACTGCTGAATTGCTTAGATGGTGTAGCATCAACTGAAGCTCGGATTGTTTTTATGACAACAAATTATCTAGATCGCTTAGACCCCGCGTTGATTCGCCCTGGTCGAATTGATATAAAGGAGTACATAGGATATTGCAGTCAATATCAGCTTGAGCAAATGTTTAAAAATTTTTTTGGGGATACTGAAGCTTTAAATTCTGTGATTTTTGCAAAAAAAGTTATCGACTCATCTCGATCAGTTAGTCCAGCTCAAATTCAAGGTTTTTTCATGAAACATAAATCTTCACCGCCCCAACACGTAATAGATTGTTGTCATGACATTTGGGAAGAGTAGATTATAAGTTTTAGTAATTTTCCTTAGAAGGAATTAATTTAAATGAATTAATTGTATTTCAATT